CATTCGTACGTACGTACATATGTAAAATTTCCTCGTACAGGTGTACGACCACAACGAAACTGTACGAACTCAATGGTACGAAGTCAGTCGTACGTACGTACGAAGATTCTTCTCGTACAGCGAAATTGCACAACCCTGAATATATTAGTTACAATATATATGTTATATACATATTACGTTGTATATTATAAACAAGTTTTAGAAGGGAAGGGATCGGTTGATGCGAGCCACATCAACGTTAAGATATCAAGCTCACGTTTCACAGACAACAAAATGTCTCATGCCCATCTTAAATTTCGTTGGGCGAATTCAATTTTTTATTTAATAAAGAAATGTTTGTCTTTTAAAAGCCACAATAGTATGGCAAGCCAAAATGGGCAAAAGGTCGTTTGAATTAAATGCTAGAAATTTTCGATGTAGCATTAAGAAAATGCTACACTACGTTTCTTAAAAAATGCTACACGTCATTTTTTATTTGCACACGTTTTTTTTTTAAGAATGCTACATACGTTTTTATCGTTTTTTTGAAAATGTCACACGCTTTTATTTAATGCTTCTTGTCATTTTTTTTAAAGATCCATCATTATATTTAAAGGTTGTATGCTACACTTTATTCTTTTTAAATTCTACTGTTATTCTTTTTAAGATGATATGTAAAGTTTTTTTAAATAAAAATGCAAATTATTTAAATATAAAAAGAATAAAATTATTTTTTTAGTTAAATTTTATGATTAAATATAATGAGTAAATCAGATTCAATTTCTTGATCACACACAAAATGTTATTATTCAAGTATGGTTGCTTGCCAAAACTCCTCCGGAAATCAATCGGCAGAGTTTCAACATGTTACACACTAATTGTTTATTAGAGTTTCGGCAAAGTTTCGCATTCATTAAGAGGTCTCAGCAAGCAACCTTATATATTCAAGCAACAAATGCATTATTACAATCTGAAGATTATGACTATTTACATAATCAATTAATTCGTCTTGAACTGTTATCAACTATGCTTGGAGACTTCTACAATATTTTGATGATAACAATGATAATAAAATTTATTTATTAAATATTGGTGTATTCAGACAAGAGGTGTCCCCTCCCATAATTAAATCATCGATTTCATTGATTTTATTCATTATTTCGTAATAATAGTGCAGTTAGATGGAAATGCGTTTTTAGGAATGACAAATAAAAACATGTGCGACATTAAATAAAAAAATGATGTGTAGCATTTTTAAGAAATGACGTGTTAATAGCATTTTAAGAAATCTTCGTGAAACTGCAAATTCTTTTTTATAGGTAAAATTACCAAAGACATTAAAAAAAATCCACAATTAAACCTGAAATAAAGTTGAAGACAACGATCAACATTTTTTATACCAAAAAAGACAACAACAGTCACACCTAAAAATAAATCACCCCATTGGGAACATATCACTATCACTCATGAGCATGCATTTAGAGATTTTATAAGCTTGGGAATGCGTTTATAGAGGGTACACTTAGAGGGAGTTGACTTTACACAAAATTTTTAGTTCGTCAAAATTTAAAAGAAGGGTAATACAAAATATAGCAATAGGAAAAAAAAAATTACTGTTGATTTTTGTCTCGTGTCAGATTCGAACTGACGACCGTCTGTGTGTTAGACAGACGTGATAACCAACTACACCAACGAGACTATATGTGAAAATTCGTAAAATTATATAATCATAATATTTAATTTTTAAGCAAAGAGTTTGTTACACGATATTAATATATATATATAACTTTTTTATAGAAGCGATCTTCACAACTATTTTTATAACTTTAAAATAATTCTTTTCATCATGATTATCAATCAATTTTTTCGCGGATTGGTGAATTTGGTGTAGTATGTGACAACGATTCTCCTAATTATTAAATTTTTATTAATATTAATAACTATTTTTTAATTAAAATATTACAAAAAAAAACTCACCACTTCTTTCATGATAAATACTAGAATATTCCTCTAAATCTTGTAATCTATCAGTATCAAATGATCTAGACATATAATCAATGAACCAATCGCCTCAATTAGTTAATAGTCTCATATCCACATATGATCATATAAAAAAAAATAATAGTAAAGAGCATGCATACGGAGGAGCACTCGAAGATCGTTTAAATGAAAATAATGAAGCTGATGATAATGAATTATTTGATTTTCTAGATCTAGTTAATCCTAAACATTTGGAAAAATGTCTAGCATAAACCTTATAAGGATATTTTAGATTACACCTATTGCAATTCAACATTAATTTGGTGGATTTCAAGGCTTGTATTTCTTGTCCGAATATATCAAATCCTGGTCTATCCAATAAAATGAATGGATTGCTTTTAACAAAAAATACAAATTTATATTTAATAATATTATTATTTAAATCTTAATCATAACTAATAAATAATAAATTGATAATAGTACTTGTCGTCAAGATACTCGATTTTATCAGTTTTAATAAGTTGTGGATTTTTAAAATTTTTATACTCTTCAAGCATTATATCAACAATGCATTCATCAATTAGTTCGTTTAAAATTTCTTTCGCCTTTAATTAATTTTCAAAAAAAGATATTATTAATTAATTAATAAAATTACTAAAATATATTATCATTAGTATATATTGGTATTTACCAATCCCGCCATGTTTTGTGGATATTTCATTCCATAATGATTATGACGTGTAATTATTGCAGACGAAGAAGAATATGAATATGATTGAGAAGTTACATCAATTGTTTCTATTGATTAATAGAAAATGGGTTTCTTTATATATATATGAAAAAAGTGATTACGACAATAAATAAATGTTTACCATTATCAACTTTTAGTGATTTTTTATTGTCATTTTGAACTGCTTCTTTAATTGAATCAACTGAGTTGAATAAGTTATTATTATCATTATCATTATATTTACTTATCATTGTCATTCCTCTTCTTCTTCTTATTATTATTATCATTATCATTAGTATTATTATTATTATGATTAGCGATATTTGTATTTGAAACCTACCTCTTTCAATTATTTTAACATTATTAACAATAGTATTTTTATTATTTTTTAATTGTTTATTAAGTTGATATTGTTTATCATATCTGCTATAAATTCTAAGTCTGATTGGTTGAGCTATTGTTGCTGGTGAAATAGTTACTGGTGAAACTGTTGTTACTGGTAAAATAGTCGTCGTTGGTGAATCTGTTGGAGTAGTGAGTGGTAAATTTGTAGTTGGTGAAGCTGCTGCTGGATTGAGTTTTTGTTGATGGTCCTTACTCATACTTAAATTTTTCGTGTCAAAAAAAACCCCTGTTTCACAAAAAAACATTTTGTTAATTTTTTTAATATCGTCGATTCAATTTTACGCGAAATATCTGTGTACCATAACTAAACCATCTTTTAGAATGTCACTTGATCGTTTAATATGGCTACGATGTTGAAAATTTAACCAAAAAATACGCGTAAGTTTACAAAAAGTAATGATTATTTCATGTATTTCATGAGTTAGTAATTTTAGGAATTCGTCGCTTTACTTATATATTATCATTATATGTACAATTCTAAACCATATTATTTATTATTTTATATAAAAATAAAACTTTTAAATAAATAATTTTTAAATAAATAAATAATAAATAAATCTATATTTAAGTGCGCATGTGTTTACTTATTTACTCATGTGATATCTTCACATCTATACTTATATCTACCATAACCAACCTTTCTTTGTAGGTTTACCAACTCTAACAGTTTGATCATTTTTCCTACTCCAAATCAATTCTCTGGTACGTTGTTCCTTATCAACTTCTTCAACTCTTTCACAAACATTATCCAACAATTCATCAAACCCTTCACTGTTAACGACTTCTTCAAAACATTTTTCTAATATCTTTGAATCAGGTCTAACATTTTGTTGATCATCTATCATTATGAGATTGTCATGATCTAACATTCTAACCCATTTTGGATTACCCGTTATGATTCTACACTGGTTTATTGGTAAGGATTTTGTTGGTGATTTAATTAATTCTCTAATTAATTTCCATGCACAAGATGCATATTTCTGTTCTTCGAATGCTGTCTCTTCAAAATCTGGTATTAAGCCAATTGTATTTGTCATCCAAGTTCTTTCTTCTTCTTCCAACTTGTCAGCAGTTTCTAATTTAAATACAACGATTATTATTATAATTAGGAAAAAAATAATTATAAATAAAAAATCATTTTATATATACCAACTAAATTATTTTCTCTTCCTAGTCTATTGATATATAACAATCTACCACCAATACGACTAATAATATTTTCAATCACTTCATCTGATTCACGACCACGACGCTTTTGTTTAAGCAATTTTATTGCTTCATCATTTCCTAAGTTATTGACTCTAATCACTTCCATACGTGATGCATCTCGTTCTATAATTCATAGTTCGATAATAATAAAAAAATCAATAATCTTAAATTCAATTTAATATATATATATATATATATATATATTCATAAATAAATTTTATACTTACTCATACGCTCATAAACTGTATAATCATCGGTGTTAAATATTATTGTTACAAGTTTAGCAGCAGCCCATGATTCAGCTCTTTGTTGCAATAGTTCCAATAAATCCTCGCCATCTTCGTCATCTTTAAATGCGTGGATATTATTAATTATTAATACTAAAGGTCTGCCACGCCTTCTTGAATATTTTACAGCTACAAGTTCTATCATGTTAAATGCTTTTTCGACATCCAATAATGCAGAACCTCTTTCAGGTGCTTCCCTAGCAAATAATTGACCAACATAGTCTTCTCTATAAGTATAATGTAATGCTTTACCTAATCTTGTTTTGAATACTTCACTGTCTGAATGTGCCTCAGTAAATACAACACCATAATGTCCTATTCTATCCATAGCATTTAATACCAATTGAGTTTTACCGGTTCCTCTCTCACCCACCAACAAATAATATTTTCCTAAACCATGACCTGCAATAGCATGATTTATTTTTCTTTGTTCTTCTCTAGCAAAAAAACCATCTTTTGTTTTAGATTTTAATAATGGTGCAGGTTTAGTAAATGCTAATTGAACTTTGTGTACTTCATTCCATTCATAAAATGCTTGATAAACTACTCCTCCAATTCCAACAGCTCCTAATCCCATAACTGTTGTCAAAACTGCATCCATAACACGTTGTGAAAATATCGAACCAGTTTGTGGTGGAGGCGGTGGTCGCTGTTGTTGCTTATTCGTACCCCCATTCGATGATGATGATTTTTTTCTTCTTCTTTTTCTTCTTCTTGGATCTAATTCTTCTTCTTCATCCAGTGCTGTTTCTGCTGATTTTTCTACCATTGGTTGAAATGGGTCTACAAATTATCACAATATTTATTGGTTTTATATATGCTTTTAAAAGAAATATATCATCTCTCACTCTCGCAAAACGCCAACGTTTAAGAATCAAACCTCGATATATAGATAAATAAATAAAAATTAATTAGAGCCATAATTAATCTTATTTACCAGGAAAAGGATCCCATACTCCAGCAGCATTTGTATCTTGATTAAAATTTCTAATTTGTGCTTTATTATTATCATCGTTGTTAAATAAAGATTTTTTTATTTTCAAATTATAAAATCTATAAAATTCCAGTCTAACAATTTTATTATTATCATTATAAACAGGATTTCTTTTCACGATATTTACTAGATTATTGCGGAATTTATACATAACTCTTGGCGAAAAAAAATTTTTTTTTAATATGTAGTACCAAACAAAATAAAATGTTGCTTATTTAAAAAGTGCTATCGTTACAAAATGCTAAATATTACATTCAAAAGACATAGAATGATAATAGTAAAAATGCTAAATATAAACTCAAAAGACTCATAAACTAATCAAAAAAAATTTTTTTTGGAATTCATTACAAAATTACTTTCACGTTTACCTGTCTTTAAAACAAGCCTAGCTTTACCAATTGGCTCTGACTGAATCCCAGGAAGTCGTGGTTGAAGGGAAGATGGAATACAAAAAGGATTAGGAAAAATGCCTTGGATGATGGTACGTACTCCATAAGCCTCATCTAACTTAGAGGTTGGAATCGTCCAAAAAAATCCTTAGTCGACTACTAGTTGGTCAAATTTTCTTTAGTCGACTATTAATTATTTTATAGTAATAGTATTTTAGTCGACTAAATTTTTTTTTGCAAATTACGAATTCATTTTTCATTTTTTCAAAATACTTCCACACAAAGCCATGTGTTACGATTCGTTTTTTTACAAGTCTTCTGGAACCACCGCTTAAATCATTGGAACTTGAAGCCAATGAACTATTGGACCTTGTATCGGAAGTGTTTATTCGTTCATATGTAAAATTATCATCATCAACAACACCATTATTGTCGTCATAAACATATTAATGGTAATGTTACTCTTCCGCATGGAAATTTTCCATTTTGAATGGTAAAACACAAAAATCGTAATTGGTCAAACAATAATAATATTAACATAATAATAGTAGTATTATTTATCGACTATTTTAGTCGATTCCAACCTCTAATATAACTCTTTGAAGTGAAGTAAACAGCGTGAGCCCTTATCTTTCCGTGTATTTGTAAGACTGGTGGTTGCAAAAGCGTCCATAACGTTATCATATGAGGTCTGTCCATATTGGCCAATCACCGATCATTTGGTATGATTATTAAAATGGAATCATACTTCCCAACGTCAGAAAGCATTTTTTCATAATTATGAATTTTACCATCAAGAGCTTCTGAAAAAAAAAGGCTTGAAGAGCATCAGATAACGATAAAGGTTCTTTAAAATAAATAACGTGTTTTATTTTAGATTTTATTATAGAGGCAGCTATAAAAAACGATTTTTTATTGATCTTTTTTACTTGCTTCGTTTTCTTGCTCTTCTTCACATTCTGCAATCTCCTTTCCCTTGTTCAATTTCTTCTTGCGCTTTTAACAATAATTTTTTATTCATTTTTAAAATTTAAAGACAAAAAGACAAAGTAATTGTTTTTTGGCATATAATAATATGTAGGGGTGACTTACTAACTTTTACTAATTATAATACTAATACTAATACTAATAATACCAAACCGCCCCATCCCTAAATTGAACGCCCCTACATCATTTTTTTTAATGCATATTTTTTAAAGATAATAAGAAACCAGATAGATGTTCTGACAACGGGGTTTGCTGCGGAATACCAGTTCTAATATATATCTTGGGGACCACCTGATTATATCATAATTAGGTAAATTACTCAAAAAGAGAAAAAATACTTCTACCAAACAAAATTTGCTTTTTGTCTTTTAAAAATGAATAAAAAATTATTGTTAAAAGCGCAAGAAGAAATTGAACAAGGGAAGGAGATTGCAGAACGTGAAGAGCAAGAAAACGAAGCAAGTAAAAAAGATCAATAAAAATCATTTTTTATAACTGCCTCTATAATAAAATATAAAATAAGACACGTTATTTATTTTAAAAAACCTTTATCATTATCTGATGCTCTTTGAGCCTTTTTTTTCAGAAGCTCCTGATGGTAAAATTCATAATTATGAAAAAATGCTTTCTGACGTTGGGAAGTATGATTCCATTTTAATAATCATACCAATGATTTTACAAATACGCGCAGAGATAAGGGCTCACGCTGGGCAAAAACCCGTAATATTACAAAATCGAAAAACAATTACGGCGAACATCTCTACTGTATATACAAACATATGCATGCAAAATTTTTGCTATCATTTCCAAATTAATGCATAATTCATAAATAGTGTGTACATGTTGGGAAAATACATGCGTAAGGCAACAAATCGATTGCTGCATGACTACACTATTAATATTTATTAATGCAATTTCATTTACAATAAATCAATTATCACCTTGATGGTGATGCCTGAGTTAGCGATTCTTTTGTTTGAACATATATTCTGCTTGGATTCTGTATGATTGCCCGCATTTCTGTATAGTATTCCATGGTACATATCTGATATCAAATTAGATCTTAAGAATGTTGTATCAGAAATACATCTAAAAGTTGGCATAATCCATACCTTGAAGAAATAAATCTTTTTTGATAAGTTCTTTGATCATGTAGAAATCATTTTTGATCTCTGGGATAGAGATTTGTGTATGTGTAAGTATGTCAACAACATATATTCCTTCTGGTATGCAATGCATTGTATAGATGGTAATTACACATTCTGAAATAATAGAGATAAAGGAGTAAGATCATAAAATTCACATTTAGTCACCTGATTATCATCACTTAACATATATTACAATTCCATATACATCATTCATGTTTTGTCTTAATCGTATATCTTAAATATTGGTTGTGTTTACAATCATTTCGTCGACATTCATTATATTGATTATATCAAGAAATATGGTCAAGAGAAGAGTTAGGAAGAGAGTTATTCTTCAACCAAGTCGAAAACCAACCCTTTAAATACATTTTCGAGTAGTACGATTTAATTTATTAGACTATTTCATTAGGAGCTTTACTATTTCAAAGGTTTGTCACATATCAATATAAGTTTGAAACTAATCAAATACAATAATTGACTATCATCCTGTTTATTGTCAAATTATTATTGTCATTCTCTCATCCAATATAGTGCTCGCCATCTTTATTGATGTCATATATATATAATAATCATTCTCAATTAATGTCACTAAGGATTTCCAAAAAAACCAACAATTTTCCACGTCCTGCTTGATCTTGCAGCAAAATATGAAGAGGTGGTTATGATATTTATATGGGAACCACAGTAATAAATTGAAAACTAATACTAATCGATACTCTTGCTATATATTTTTTTTATTTTATATTATTTATATATACGCGTTAGTTAGATTGTTTTGTTATAAAATAGAAAATAGAAATAATCTACAACATATTAATATATATTTAAACTCGAAAAAATGACCTCACAACAGTAATAAAAAAAATTTTAAAAAAATGAAAGAAAATGCTTGTCTTATTTGTATTGATGGTTGGGGTATTTCCTCAGAGGATCCTACTGGTGATGCAACCCTTAATGCAAATACGCCTATAATGGATAAATTTAAGGCAGAATATCCTTATGCAACATTAGAAGCTCATGGTTCGGCTGTTGGGTTACCTGACGGACTTATGGGTAATTCTGAAGTTGGTCATTTGAATATTGGTGCAGGTCGTGTAGTTCATCAGGTGAATAAGAGAGGTATATATATATAATCTTTCGAGTGATAAATAAAAAGATAAGGAAATCACATATATTACAACTATAAAAATTAGGATGCATTAAGAATTGATTTGGCTGCTAAAAAAAAAGAATTTCTTAAAATTGAAAATATTAGAAAATCTTTTGAACATGCCAAGGAAACATCAAACAGAATTCATTTTCTTGGTTTAGTAAGTATATATTTATAAATATTAATAAATAAACAAATTAATAATTCTTACCTTCATCATTACTATTTAAGGTATCTGATGGAGGTGTCCACAGTCATATCAATCATTTAATTCACCTTTTGGAATCTGCAAAAGGCTTTGGTATTTGTGATGCTTATGTGCATTTTTTTGGTGATGGGCGTGATACCGATCCTCGTTCATCTGATAAATATCTTGAACAGCTCCAAAAAGTTTCAGGTGAAATTAATTATGGTAAAATTGCCACTATAACTGGAAGATATTATGCTATGGATAGAGATAAAAGATGGGAAAGAATTAAGATTGCAGTTGATGCTTTGACTCGAGGAATTGGAGAAAAAACTGACAATCCTTTACAAGTTAGATAATTATACATATATATATATATTATAATTATTATTAATTAGTTGATGAGATATTTATATATATTGATATTTATAAATTAGACTATTCATGAACGATATAACAAAGATGAAACTGATGAGTTTTTAAAACCAATAATTGTTAATGAAGAAGGACTTATCAAAGGTATCTTTTTATTACAAATTAATAAATAAAATAAACAAAAATTTTTTTATATCAAAAAAAAATTGTTTTTAATTAAATATTATTATTGTTTAGATAATGATACATTGTTTTTTTTTAATTTTCGATCTGATCGAATGCGTCAAATTGTCCAGACTCTTGGTATTTCACCACCACCATTTGAGATTGAGATTCCAAAAAATCTTGTATGTTATTATAAAAAAAATAAAGAATTAAAACATAAACATATTTTTATTAATTAAAATTTTACTTTATTTAGCATATCACAACTATGACAAGATATAAAACGGAATTTTCATTTCCAGTGGCATTTTCTTCACAAATTATGGATAATGTTTTAGCTGAATGGCTTTCAAAGAATAAGATTCCTCAATGTCATGTTGCAGGTAAATAATAATATCTATAATTTTCAATATTTATAATGTCTTTTTTTTTTTTGATATCAAGAATCAATAATCAAATGTTTATTTTTTTTAGAAACCGAAAAATATGCACATGTAACATTTTTTTTTAATGGAGGAGTGGAGAAACAATTTGAACTTGAATGTCGTCATCTAATTCAATCACCAAAAGTAGCAACCTATGATCTCAAACCAGAAATGTCAGCATTAGAAATTGCAGAAAAGGTTGTAGAAGAAATAACTTGTGGAAAGTTTCCTTTCATCATGTGTAATCTTGCAAATCCTGATATGGTGGGTCATACAGGAATTTATGAAGCAGCAGTGAAAGCTGTTGAAACAACCGATAAAGTTATTGGTTTGATATACGAAGCTTGCAAAAAAAATAACTATATACTTTTCGTTACATCTGATCATGGTAACGCTGAGCAAATGAAAGGTGAAGATGGTAATCCTCATACTGCTCATACTTGTAATCCAGGTAATAATAGTAATAACAAACAATAATAATTTTTAAATATAAATATATATTTTTTATTAATTATATTTATATTTAAAAGTTCCCTTTGTTATGACATCAAAGAATTATTCGTTTTCTGAATCTGCAAAAGGTGCACTGTGTGATGTGGCTCCTACAATTTTAGATGTCATGGGATTAGAAATACCAAAAGAAATGACTGGCACATCATTATTAAAAAAATAAAAGCAGCAGAGCTATCATAAATCTTTAAAACAAAAACTATTATTTGTAATTTCTACCATTATAAGAAGGTTTCTTGTATATATATCTTTAGTCATCTTTAAAATTCAATAGTTGATATAATTTATCTCAATTTTGCTTGTATTCTTCCATTAAAAACAATATTTATATCTGCAAAGAAAAATTTTTGTTCTTAGAGACTTGGATTATTGAAAACATCAATTACGACAACATTGACGCTAAATACTTGCAATTCATTAAAATATAATATTGATTCTCCAATAAAATAATTTTAATTTGTTTTTTTATATAATTAAATTTGTGGATGATAAAAATAAACGTTCCATTTTTTTAATTTAATCATTTTGGTCCTTTTTTTTATTATTATTCGAGTCTATTTTTTAATCAGTATTAGTGAAACCAAACAATTTTAATTAATTCATAGAAAAAAAGAGATAAAAGCTAGTTTAATTAACGAAGCCAAGAGAGTCTTTAAATCGATCTCTTTAACAAAGAATTTAGAATTATTGGTTTATAGAAATAAAAATCGATTTCTTTAACAATCAAAAATGCTGTTTTATTGGTTCGTAGGGAGGGATAAAGGTTCTTTTAAAACATTGAAAACAATTAGCCCGCCTTTTATTTGTATTAGATCAATCAAAGAATTTATTTTTCTTTAACAACAAAAAAATAAAATCCAATTTACATCTTCCAATCAATTATGTTTATAAATATAATTTCATTTTTAAAAATAACAAAGAATGAATCAACAGAAAGCTCATGCTGCATTAGTCGGTATTGATATAGCAATCCCATATCGTCAAATTTAGAAAACAGCAATATTCTTCCTAATCAAAGAAACATCCACATACACCTTTCTCCAACATACCTATTGACCAAGGTTCTTGCTTTTTGTTGCCAGAAGATTTTAAAATTTTAATATGTGGACAGGCAACATGAGATAGTAATTGCCTGTATCATTCCGCTTCCATAATTTGTGGGCAAATGAGGTTTTCACAACTCAACTGAGGGTCTCTGTAATCATAGAATTAATGAAGAATGCGAATTACTATCTGGAAAAATAGTGTAGATATTTTTACTTGTTTAATATGAATTATAAGTGCAAAATCACAAAGCAATTATGAATAATAATATGAATGATAAAAGAACTATTTCTAAAAGATAGTCAAAAGAAAAGCAGAGAAATCATTGATGAACTAAATGAGAATTGATTTAAAAGTGTAAGGTTAAACTTTCAGAAATGTTAACCTATGGAAATTAATTTATTAATTGAAAAATTTTCTATTGAAAAGAAGATACACGGTGGATCTTGGTTTAACGTATAGTTTGGGCAGTTATAATTAATATTAGGGAAGAAATCCATTATATCGAAAAGGGTTTATTATGGAGGACTTCATCCATTAAACCGAGATTTTTAATTAGTATCACTAAATCGAGGTTCACTAAACCAAGATTCACTGTATAGTGGTATGGACGGGGAAAGATTATCAAGAAGGATCCTTCTACTGACATGAATATTGATAGTTGGACAAGAATCAAAATTTAACTTTGTTATTGTTTATAAAAATATGATCGATCCTCACAATAATAATACATTATTAAAAGGCACTGAGCTTCCATGGATCAAAGAAAACAAATGCATGGATCCAAGGCCATTAAATGTCCATCCCTATTCTCTGAGCCCAACGATCAATGAAAAAGAAGTAGAAAAAGGCGCCAAGTTATTATTTTTTAAAATTTCATTTTTCCACCTACACATTAATCGCATTTATTGTACGTTGTTGAGGATTGTGGTGGAATTACAAATTTTATATACCCGATATCCCAGTTTGTTTCTTTAGCTATAATTTGACATACATTGATTGGAAAACAGACTCATGAATTCATCAGATCTGACCGATCCGATAGATAAACGGCTAGAGGCTAATGGTTTGTAAATATTATACTGACATTGTCCACTCATCCAAGGAAAAGAGGTCTTTGCACTTGAGAAAACGAATTGCTGAAACCATCCCCTATATTTTGATTTTCTAGATTTTGATTTTCTAACGTGATTTTCAATTCCAGTGAGTTTTCCATCTACAGAATTGTTCAATGTCAATGTAGATACATTTGTATCGGCATGTTTGTAAATTCTTATGGTTAATTTGAGATATCTATACGCGAATTAAAATATATGAGTATGTCATTTCATTCAAAAAGAGAAGTGGTCAATGCTCTGTTATTATTCCAGAACATCATGTCTTAGATTGAAAACCAGAATATATGTATTATTGCTAAGCATAATACTTTGTATATTTTTGATTATACTTTAATAGCTTATTTTAAACTTTGTTTTAATAGTTTCTTTTTTCTTTTTTTAAATGTTATATATAATGTACACCAATTATTATTTGGGAGAGCGTGTTAATTGATGATTATGTGGATCAGAAAACGTTTTATTAATCGAAACTAATTTATTAACTTATTTCCAAGTTAATTTACAAGTTATTAAAACTTTATTACAAAGCTATTAAAACTAAGACAAAGTTATTTTTACAATTATATCAAATTTGAGCTTCTTATATACAATTAAATTAATTAGTAGCAACTTCATTGCAATCTTGCACTCTAACCGCGATATCGCACTTTAATTACGACGTAGCATTCTAACTGCAACGCTAGTTTCGACGTTATACGAATAAAAATAATAAAATAAAATAAGAAATATAAAGAATAAATAAATATAGATATAAAAATAAAGTAAAAATAAAGTAAAAATAAAGTAAAAATAGGAATAAAAGATTTGATTTGGAATTAGGATATTTTGACCAACAAATTAGCATTAAATCCTAGTAACAATAGTGATGAAGTAAAAGACGACGAAAATGGATCCAACTCGTATTTATATTGCTCTGTAAAAAATATATCACATGATAAGATAGGAAATGTAGTATGATTTATAGTAGTATTAGTATGGAGATGTGTATTTTTGACCCACAAGTGAGGGGATAGCGGGTCTATTTAAAGCAATCTATTAAACTGATAAATGCTCCATTTGGCCATGAAATAGTTTATTTTATTAAAAATTACATTATTGCACAATAGGATGCTAGGATGACTCGCATCCTGGTTCTGGTATTAGCACAACGTGCCTCACCTCGAGCGAGAAAAAGTTTGGTAATCTTACGCAAGCTAGCAACCTCAACGTTGTATGTAAACTTGGAATGTCAGGATGTTACGCATCCCTCTGCACATGGTGGCAACAGAAATGTGCCACATACTCAGTGTCGTGACGACGTAAATGTATCACGACGACAAAAAACATATAAGACATCATATATAACCTAGTCTAAGCCGAAGAAACACAATTATGTTATTTTGGCTAGAGCCACCCACCACTTTTAGATTAGTGGTAGTACGATGTGAGATTTCTGTAATTTCTTTATAATGTTCAACAAGTTTTGATCTGGTCCATTGCCATCGATAATACTAAATATGGTTAAAAATGTTTCACCAATGACCAACTATCATGAAACGTTAAATTTTAAACTTTTGTCGATTTTACATCAATGGGAAAAAGTATTATACTAACTATCCATCCAAAAACCCATCCACGTTTTCAAAATTTGCCATTGCCGATCACTAAATATATACAATAATACTAACACTAAATACATTTATTAATTTATATATATATGATAACTTTGTGTAAAAATAATGAATCCAAAGATTTTGAATAATTGTTCACTTACCTATTCAATAATTAGGAAATCAGTGTTCGGATTTTCATATATAAGGAGTGTACAAAAATTTCCTGAAAATTCTTTATCTTTTTATCCCTCTAATCTTTTCAACTGTAGAACATTGACTACAAAAATGGCAACAAAATTTTATGAATTAGAAGCTTTGGACATTAAAAAAAACCCATTGAAATTTTCTGAATATCAAGGAAAAGTTTTATTGGTGGTAAATGTTGCTTCAAAATGTGGATATACTCCACAATATAATGGATTAGAAGAACTTTATCAAAAACTCAAAAGTTCAAAATTTGAAGTTCTTGGATTTCCCTGTAATCAATTTGGAGCTCAAGAACCTGGCACCGAAGGAGGTAAAAAAAATAAATAAATCTTTATTATTTTTTTTTTAAAAAAAGAAATTTATTTATTTATTTATTTATTTTTGGGGGGAAAGAAATTGAAACATTTTGTAGAAATGATAAATATCATGTAACCTTTCCGTTATTTGCAAAGATCGATGTAAATGGTGAGTCTACAAGTCCAGTTTATGAATTTCTGAAATCAAAATTACCAGGAGACATCAAGTGGAATTTTGAAAAATTTTTAATCGATCGTCAAGGAAATGTTGTCAAACGTTATGTTTCTGGTGATAAGGTAAAAAAAAATTTTAATAATAAATTGAAGTTTAAAATAAAATTAAAAGAAAATATTTATTTTATTTTTTATTTTTTATTTTTAGCCTGCTAGTTTAGAGGCTGATATTAAATCATATCTCTAATGTATATGATAATAGTTAACATTCATTGATGATATTATCGTCAATTCACTTGAATTCCAATATGTAATAAATAAAAAATGACAAATAACAAATTTTCTTGTTCATAAAATATTATGTCTAATGAATTATATAATGTACCCAAATGATCTCGATCCCAAAACTTTTGATAATTCTGATTAAACAACCAGAAGATCAATAACAATGAGATATACATACATATGTGTATATTAAAATTTTAACAAGAAGAGCGAGTGTTATTATTGATAAATAATTTATAATTATATATTTAATTTATTGTCATTTTTAAAAGGTACATTTAATGGATCGATAATTGAACCTAATTTTGTAATAACTCTAGGTTTATTTAATTTTTGATAAACTTCGACAGTATTCCATTCCTTGCCCAGTGGAGTATGCAAACTATGTTCATATTGATTCGTATTTTTAAATGGATATGGAACATTTGTTGAAAGATATTTTTTTGCCTATTTATTTATTTTGATATTTTTTTAAAAAAAAATACATCATTATTATAATAATTAAAAGAAATGTCAAGTTATAAATAATTATAAATCGTTACCTTTTTAACTCTTTTTTCATTAATAACAACATGTTTTAATTTAGAATCTTTACGTTTAGATGAATCAATTCCAGGAATTGTTGAAATCAATTTCCTTCGTTTACGTTTTCGCACACCTTTACCACCCCAAGCACCCTATATATTTTTAATTTGTAAAATATCATTAATATATATATAGTAATTGTTACATCATATATATGTGTGCATATAGTTCTCACCCAACCAGGTAAAGTTATATCTTCTTCTTTGGGTGCGTCTTCATCAATTATAGCTTGTTTTTCCACTTCAAATTCCTTTTCAAAAAATAAAAATTGTTTGGATCATCTATATATATATATATATATATCCTTGCTAACCAATAAGTTTTTTAATATAAACAACCTACCTGAACTACATTATCATTAGCAAAAGCTCTTGAAACTAATTCTCTCTGTGTAAATTTCAAAGTGTCTTTACTATGAATGTAATCATTTGTTATCTTCTCATCCTCCTCAACATCTACCTCCTCAATTTCTTTATCTGTAATTTTTACTACCTTTGTCTGTTTTTCTTTACCTATGTAAATATATATATATATTATGATATAATGTTATGTGTTATACATTTTATGTATCAGTAACTTACCAATTTTCTGAAGACTTTCGTTGAATGTTAAAACATTGTCTAAATCAATCTCAACATCATCTTCTTTTCTTGATTGCTTTTGTCTCTTTAATTTATTAACTAATTTATCAGATTTTGTTTCATTTTTTTTATTAGTAACTTTATTATTTTTTTTACTAATAGCCATAACTTGAGAAGTGTCTGTCTGTAACCATGGATTAATTTCTCCATCAAATATAGATTTGGGCAACTATTGAATAATTGTTTAAACAATTAATAATCCATATGTTAATGTTTTTGAGAATGTTTAAATGCATACCTTTTTTATAGTTGGTCCTTGATCAAATAAAACTTTAGTATTTTCTTGTTTTTTTAGTAATTGGTTCTGTATATATAATTAATTAAAAATTTGTTAATCTTTTTTTTAATTAAATTTTAAGAATTCATTTGAAAAATAAAAAAACCTACCTTTGTTCCAGCACCAATTATCATTCTTCCCATATTATTACCAACAAAAGTAATTGATTCTTTTTCATCATGATTTTTTTTGGCCTTCTTTTTTTTATTGCTACCTCCTCCTTCTCTGTCACCATCACCACCATCATCATCATCATCATCATCGTCGTCATCATCATCATCATCATCACTTTTTTCTTCGCTGAAATTATTATTTTCCAAATCCTCAACAAAATCGTCTATTATTTTACCAGTTTGTTTGCTTTCTCTTTCAATGGCATTTTTCATAAATTTCATACCCATTATACCTAATGATGTTTCATCTTTTAAAGCTTCATCATTTACTAATTGGGATAGTTCATCAAAAGCATCATCTTTAATTGCTTCAATATTTTTTTCCAGTTTATCATTATCATCATAAGCATCATCACTTTCACTTCTTATATCATCCAATTCTTCATCAGATCCAAGATCATGAATTTTGCGATTGAGTTCTTCGTGTCTCTTCAATTGATCCACTATTGCCTGTTGACTTTCAGGATCATGATGTCCATTTTTTAATAATTGTTTAGCCCATTTAGTTGTATTCTTGTGTTTTAGGGTCATACGTTCTTTTGCTCTAGCTGTATCAAGTTTTATGCGTTCTTCTCTTGCAAGCTCCGGATCTAGTTGTGATAATTGGTCAAGATTTAATTTAATCTTTTCTTTTCTACGAATTTTCCTATATGTTTTACTCTTGATTTTTGCAATCCTTTTTGCTTTAATTTCTTCTCGAAACATTAATTCACGCATTCTACGAAGTTCCTTTGTTCGAGTTTTTATTTCATCTATTGATAATTTGTTTAACTGGAGTTTTTCATATTGTTGAAGTTCTTTTTCATTTCCCTGTTTCAATCCACTTTCCACCAGTATAGATTCTACTTCTTTTTCTAAGTTTGTGGATGGCTTTTTATAATTAAAAAAATTTAATTAATCAATTAATATATAAAATTATTCGTTAAATTGTTTAACATCAATCAATACATTGATGCATACCTTGAATGTACCGGCCAATAGACTATTAGTTGGACGATGTTGTGGTATGGCATCTATTGGAAAAACCAAGTGATCTGCTATGCGATTTTGTTTAACAATCGGTTCCCATTTTGAAATCTCTTTTTTTGTTTCCTCATAAGCTGCTTGTCGATTTAATCTATCTTTAAGTCGTTTGGGCAAAGGTGGTGGCAAAGGATCTTTGTACGTTCCTTTATTACCACCACTTTCAAGTGAGGCTAACTTTTGTTTTAAACCACTGAAACCAGTTTCTTCTTGGATCGCACCAAGTAGATCTTGAAGTTCAATTTTCTTTTTATTATTCATTGTGTTAATTATTTTTTCCACAAAAAAAAAACTTGCGATAATCATCTTAATTTATGCATATATCCATAACAAGTATGTTTTCAGGAAGATCCTTAAACACAAATTGATTACATAAAATCAAACAAGCCAAATAAAAGACAGAATAAATAAAACGAGCCTTCAATCAAATCGGAAACATTCTTTAACACTTTTTACCAACATCATCTCTAAAATAAATCGCCGCCAGTGCACAATGCCGTCCAACCAAATCTACATAATGTTGCATACGCTACAAAACGTAAATGTTGCTATTGCTGATCTTAAAATTTGATACGAGGAGGATGTTGAAGCTCTGATTGAATCTCAGAAACCAGAATATCGACCAAGAAAAACTATCATTGGAAGAGGTGTTTGTCAAATTGCTGGAAAATTACATTAGTCTGATATAATGACACGATGAAATGAACAAATCACCAAGTGATCACTTGATTATTCATATTAAGCTTTCTCAAAAATTTAAATATATTGCTGTTGATGTGGAAACAAGAAGATTCAATCCATCAAAAACTTTTGATGTTAATGAATTAAAGAATAATAATGATTGTATTGTTAACTCAATTTTGCGAAGCATGGCGGACATTCTTATAATTGGTAATGATTTTCATCGATCCGATTACACAAAAAAGAAAAATTGATTTGCACAAAAATTTAAAGAGGGCTTCGTGACGTATAAGTTTTATCAAGTAGATATTGGAAGCAAATTTTATTTAATAATACAAAACCATTAATTTAACAATAATCAAGAACAAACTACCTTGTTTCTATTATTTATGAAATAAATATATATTATACAAATTTAACAAATTTAAAAATTAATTTAACAATAACTATAAAACTACCTCATTTCTATTATCTATGAAACAGATATAAATATTATATTATACAAATTCATTAATTTAACAATAATTATAGAAACAATTTACCTTGTTTCTTTTGCTTGTATAAACAAAACCATTAATTTAACAACAATTATGGAACAACCAAGAAAAAATAAATATATTACAAAACCATTAATTTAACAATAATTATAGAACGAATATCTTGTTCCTATATTCACATCTAATAACAAATAAATAAATAAAAAAATATATTTACAAAACTATTATTAATTTAACAATAATTACAGAATGAACACCTTGTTGTATCTTCCTTCAGCTTTTCATTTAGTAGTTTCATTTATTGTTTTAAAAGTTTTAGTTTCTTTACAAAATACACATTTGGCTTTTTTCACTATTACACCTTGAAAATGTTTTAAAAGATAACAAGTTCTTCCACCCAACTCCCAGTTCTGCTTTATTTTTACTTGTTTTTCTATACTTCGGAGCCTACTCTAATTTCATTGCAAATTACACATCTGCCATATAATACTATATTGGGAATGCTAGTACTAAGTAAAAGTATGTCAAAATTGTGGATGCCGACGGATGCAGCTGGAAATAAGTTAAAACAATATCTGTCATAGCTATGTAAAATTTTTGTGAAACATGTCAATTTTTACTATTAAAATCGAAGTTACTTTTTTGTTTGTTACTAGTACACCCATATATAGTTTTTAACAAGGAACGTGATATTTTGTACACGCATTCTTTGAGACTTATTTTATTTCCTTGTAAAATTTTAGGTATGATTTCATAAAGAAACGAAAAAGAATTACCAGTTGAAAGTTATTCATTCAGTTTTTAATGACATTACCATTTTTAGTAAAATTTTAAAAAAATTTAGTAATTTCAATGAAAACGAAAACCACCTTTAGAAATAAAATTGCTTTATTGATTTTGGGTTGAGTAGTCAACTGTCAATATTATAATTATTTAATAAATAATTCCTTACTAATAAATTTAGCGGAAATTTTTGTTTATAATAATAAGAATGAATGGGGTGTTCTTTGGCTAACAACAAGATTCATAAAAGGTACATACATACATTTTTTTTTTTAATTTAATTAATTATAATATTAGTTAAAACAATGAATAAGATATGATCAGAGAAATGATTCTAATATTTTTATCTTGTTTTTTTAAGAAATATTAGTTGACATTCTAATATAGTAAATAATAGGCAATAATGATATATTATCATGGATCATTTTATTGTTTTAATAAAAAGATAGCAAGTTCTTTCTTTGACAGATATAAATATTATTTAGTTGTTTGATGAAGCTGTTTTTGATAAGAAAACGTATTTTAGAATTAATATAAATAGATGTTTTATAATATTCCTACAAAATAGAAATTTGTTAAATTATTGTAATTTCATTTTAATAATTATTAATAAATAAAGATCTATTATAATTTATCTTTGTGATTGTAAACAAGTATTGATCATCCAGCAACAAATTCTGATGGAAAATAGATACTAGAAATTATATTAAAAAACGATATATGTACATTATCCAATTTATTATGAATCTTTTTTTTTTTGATCAATAAAAATTGTCATAAATCACATGATATGTTCGTACAAATCCCAACCTAAATATTAATTTTTCCTTGATGGTTAAAATAGTTTATTAGCATGCAATTCATCAGAATAAACTTACGATGATGGACTTAACATTTGCAGTGTCACTTTATAGAAAATTGGAATTCATTTATTATTATTATCGAGATATACAAATTTTTTTGTAAAAATTTTTTTTCAAGTAATTTCTAATTATAAATTTTTAGCTCACCACCTTAAAAAACCTTCATCATCCGTATCCCAGGTCTTCCGCCGTCTAGACCAAGGAAGTATAGGAGCTATTGTAAAACTACAATTATGCAACATGATGGTGAAGTAATACAATTTATTAGGATTGTCTCTCTTCATCAATTCCTCCATGATCGGTATTTTAATTTTTTGACCTTCCTCCTCTGTGGCCAATTTCCGTGCGTGCGAAATAAAATTTAAAATGTCATTCAAAATAAAAGCAGTTTGGAAGGAAGTAAACAAGAAGAGAAGGGAGAGTGGGTGTGTTAGTTAGCGTTGGCAAACTACACGGTTATTTGCTATTTTTCAAATGACCTACTTTGTCAAATTTATAATAAAATAGAGGTCATTACAAAGCCATTTGCCAACACTGCTCCAGAGGTATTAATAAATAAATAAATATTAACATTTATTTAGAGATACAAATACGTTTTACCTGCACAAATCAAATTATTATATCGCTATGTCGAATTAGAATGCCAACACAATTAAAGTAACACGGGTCACGACTGGAGAATGCCTCGTAGTGGAACCCCAAATAAGAGGCGAACGTTTGCTATTCTGTCGGGAACAGAGAGAGGAGAGACGCGAAAAAAGGATTTCTTTGGAGGAAGAGTTGAACTGGAAATGTATGTAACAACCTGTGACAGTAAGGCTGGCCTCGACATTCTATAAGTGTATTAGTAGTGGTAGTAATATAACAATAATAGTAAAAGAAATATATATATATATTTTCCCCCGAATGAAGCACAAACTCTTAATGTTTACATCCAATATGAATATTGTAATATTTATAACATAATAACAAAAACAATGTGTTGGGACGTCTTTGCCGTGGTCGAAAGAAGTGTCAAAGAGATTCTTGGGAATTACTGCCGAGTTAATGAGTAGCGATGGAACGAGAAAAACCATCTCATCATTGAGGAGAAAAATTCATTCATGTAAAATTACCCGTTAAAAGACAAAAGAAACCACGGGAAGAATATTCCCTGAAGCCTTTATTTATAAGGCAACCGTAACACTAAAACTCTGATCCATAAGTACACATTCTTCCGACAAAAAAATTTAGTCTCCTTACTAATAACAATTGAGAGGCCGAGTGCGTAATCCTAATGAGTAATTATTGGTCATACGTTAAGTTAACTTTAGTCAAGACACTCGTCACTAAATTAGGGGTTTCAATTATCCTATATTAATTATGTAAAAGGATCCAGGATACAATGTAAAACCTCTTTATGACGTCAACAATTTTGACTAATTTGCCAGTTTTTGAATTCTATAATTTTCTGTTACATTATTTATTTCACTTGTTACAACTAGTGTTGGTTTCCAAAATTGAGAGTTTCGCAACCATGCGAAAGTCAAAAGGTTTCGCCATAAGTCAAAACTAGTTTTGATTTTTGACTATTGACTGTTGATTTAGTTTTGACATATAACTTTTAATTTTATTTTTGACTTTTGCCACTTCAAAATAGTTTTGGCAACCAACACTAGTTACAACATGTCCATATAACTCTCCAGAATGACAAAAACCGTATGATTTTCAATTAATAATACACGTCATAAGAAAGCTTCCATTCCACCAAAGCGGTTTATAGACTATTATTGTCAAACTTCGGTCTGTTATAACCTTCTAAATCCTTTTTTTTTCGAACAAAAAAGTTTAATGGACGATTTTTATTAACCTTGTTTAATTTTGAGGAAGAGCCGTGTAACATTTCGATAAAAAAAAAACGGATATAATAACAAAAATAAGTGAATAATTTCCGTCAAAATTTTACTTTTTTCTAAATATATAATTGGATTACTAATGGATAATGTCAAATAAATGAATACTTTATAAATTTATTATTTCATTCAATATTTGATTCAAAAATTTCATTTAGAAGAGTGATAAATGAATGAGCCAATTGGAATCTGCAAAACAGCAATTTAATTTGTAATTCGTCATTCAAAATTATTTTTTAACGAAAAATTTTCCTTGGCACTTTTTTTGATTCAATTAATTTATAAAGAAAAAAAAATTATATAAAAAAAAACAAGCACGTTAATTAATTATATCACCATCACCAACAACGAGATTTTCTTTCGTTAATATTACATATTACGCAATCCTTTCTACCTTAAAAATCAAAACTATAACAATAGCATAATAATTAACATGACAGTCGCGATTAATACAAAGGTCTTAAATAATTCTCAAAACCAGTTACAATTAATTCACGATAAATATGATGATAATTCTTTGTGGTCAAAAATAAGGTCATTAATTTTTCCTGAAATTGTAATTTATTTATTTATTTATTTGTTTGTTTGTTTGTTTGTTTGTTTGTTTGTTTGTTTATTTGTAATAACAATTCACGATAATATAATAGAAAAGGTCCTTTGGGTTTTAGTTTATATGCAGGTAAATATTTTATATCCCAATTTTCCTAATTTTTTCACAAACATGCTATTTTTTTTACTGATCCTCTCTCACTCTCTTTTTTAGCGCTTCAATATCCAAAAGTATTCTTAAATAGATTTTTTTTTGATAACACACTTAATCCAACTTGGACGATTTATCAAGAATCATTTATAAATGTACTGAAATGGACACTTGACGCTCCTTTGACTACAATCAGATCAAATTTCATATTTCTTGAATATATAATGAAACGCTTTGGATGTTCTGAACCATATACGCTATTAGATGATGACGAAGACATTAAAGGATATTGGTTAGGTCCTGAACTTTGGAAAGGCCGTCACCCAGAAGCTGTTATTTTATACGTTCATGGTCAGCGTTCATTTTTTTTTCGACTTTATGTTCACATGACTTATTATATATTTTCTCACATAATAATAATAATAATTATTATAATCATTACTATTATTATGATCATTATTATTATATAGGAGGTGGACATGTAGCGATGTCATCATTTTTTGGAATAAGATTTTTATGCTATTTAATTAAACAATTACGTACTCAACATGATATACATATTAGAGTGTTGTCAGTTGATTATAATTTGGCACCAGAAGAACCATTTCCAAGTGGTATCAATTGCATTAAAAGAGCTTATAAATGGTTAACTGAGGAAGTTGGTACTCCAAAAAATCAAAAAGTATTTTTATGTAAGTATATATGATAAACATTGTTGTTTTTATTAATTCCCTCCCTCACTCACGCACTCACCCACCCCTTCCCTTTGTTTTATAATTTAAAGGTGGGGATTCATCTGGTGCAAGTATGATCTTGGGATTATTGCAATCAATTTATTCGGAAGATGGACCAGAAAATCTAAATAATAATAATAATCCAAACGACAACATCTTATACAACGACGAAAATAGTAATGATATCGGAAACGATAATAGTAATGGTTCATCACAAGGATTTTCTTCTTCATTTAAAAAAAAACATCCATTAGCTGGAGTAATACTAATTTCACCGTGGGTGGAATTAGCATGTGACAAATTATCACGTCTTACAAATTCAAAATACGATTATTTACCAAGTCAATTTACAAGTGTATCAGCCGAAAACTATTTATTTGGCAACGTTGGTAATCCAAATCGATTTCAAGACTCGTATCGACCAAAGGTCAACGAGCCATTGATATTATCATGGTTGGAAAAAGTCGAAGATTCATTTGATTCTGTTGGAATCGATGATCCTAATTATTATAATTTATTATCACCATCATCCAGAATATCTAAAAGATATAGTATAGAAAGTAGAAGTACCAATAATCGATTTTCAATGCATTCGCAACGAAACTCTAAAAGTTCTTTCAAAAATGTTGGAAGTTCCTTCCGAAATTCAAAAATTAGAATTGATTCCTCCTCGTCGTTTATGGTTAATAGTTATTTAAATAATAACAATGGAAAAGAAACAACTAAAAATCACATATATAGTAGTACCAATAATACTAACGAGGAGTTTAACGAATTAGATACAACAACTAGACAATCAAGTACGCATCACAAAATAACATTACATCAAATAATTGAAAAAAATAAAGTAGAATTTTCAAGAAAAAGAATAACAAATGATATATACGTAAATCCAATGGTGTCGCCTCTATATATTAAAAAGAGAATTTTGGCAAAATTCCCACCTTTGTTTATTTCTTATGGTGGAAAGGAAATTTTTAAAGATGATATTGAAATGTTTTGTAAAAAATGCATTGAATCAAAGAATTATTTTGGAGGTAATGTTCCAAATCATGATAAAAACAGTCATCCTGACGTGACTATTGAAATTGATCCTGAAATGGTTCACGCGTAAGTATTTATTTTGTAATATATAGATTGATTGATTGATAACATAAAATACAACTAAAAAATTTTTTTTTATTTATCCTAATCAAAATTTCCAAATTTTTGTAGATATCCAATATTTGTTGATGCATTTGGTAAACATTCAAAAAATACATTGAATCGCATCGCAAGTTTCATATCTTCAAAAGTTTATCCTTCTCGTTTATCAACAAGCCTATCATTTCATCATAATAATATTAGAAGAAGTAGAAGAAATCCCAATTTTATTATAAAGAAATCATTAGCACCAACAATATTATTATTATCAGGAGATAATTCTAATGATAATGGAAAAGGCACAAGTGTTTTAATTAAACCGAATAATAATAATGATAATGACGACGACGACGACGATATTGAAATACCATATTATTTAATACAAGATAAATCTTTATCTAAAATAACTCCAAATTCAAGAATATTAAGAAAAAGCAGCAGTAACTTAAATAAAAAAAATAGAAAATCATCACGTAAAACTCATTAATATTATTCAAGTTTTTTTTTGTAACAGTGAAAAATTATAGATTAGGTAGATAGAAAGAATATATGTATTTTTCGTGCGTAGAAACTTTGAAATTCAGTCAGAAAATACGTAATTAATATAAATTATTAAATTAAATAAATTTGATAAAATAATTAATAAATTAACAATAGCAAGATTAAAATATTGTAGTGAAAACATGTAGATTTGTTTGGCATTGTTATTACCAGATTCCATATGTTTAATAAAACGACTAAAAGAAGAGCCCTCTTAATAATGAGCGTCGCCAAATCTGAAGCGACGTAGTAGCCGTAATTCATTTTAATGATTGCCGAATTATATTCAAAATTATTCATTCATAATAATAAACGAATATTGAAAAGCCACTGTAATTACTTTTTTCCAAAAATGATTTCGGCAAGCAAGGCCGGTAAATACGTGATTAAGAGTTGTACTATTAGTCGTGTGACATATTAATATCCCTGAGGATGGTGAAAATAAATTCGAAATTTATGTCACATGAAGTTTTTTTAAAATATATCGTATTTTTATAATAAACTCTAACTTTGTTGTTAGAGTAAAATGTAAGTACTCCGTTAAAGCTTTTTAATGAATACTCTTTCATGACGAAAGGCATTCTCTACATGAATTCACGGCTATTCAAAAACGGTATTACTTTTTCATTCAAAGCTCGGATTATTTCTCAATATCGTTTTAAAAGACTTGATAGTAAATGTGAGAAGGTCTAGAATACTTTAAGCTTTCATATGGTCATTACTTTATGGGGGTATTGGTTAATAAGTTTTAAAGAGGTTCACGAAAAACTATTTTATAGAAATTTAATAGCCTTGAAAGAATTTTATGATGGGATTCAGCAAAAACTAAAAGGTATTTTATTAGTGATTGTTTTTATACTTCAGAATTTATATTGATTAAAGTTTCATCAATGATTATTTTGGGTCTGATTCATTTCGTCGACAATCATTTCGTCGAAAGTTTATTTCGTCGACAGTTCATTTCTACAACAATTCATGTTAATTTGCATGTATTACCAATTATGTTTGGGAGAGCGTGAA